CAGCGAAGAGATCCGCAGTTTGATTTTAGGGGAATGCCACGATACTGAAGGGCATTTCGGTTGGCAAAAGACATTAGCCAACCTGATGCGTGCGTATACCTGGCCAGGGATGAAGAACGACTGCATAGAGTATGTCCGCAGTTGTAAAGTGTGCCAGAGGAATAAGTCTACTACACGCGCACCCCTAGGTCTTCTCAGACCCTTGCCTATTCCGGATCAGCCGGGAGACTCCGTGTCCATAGACTACATGGACACCCAAGTCAAGAGTAGACATGGTAAGAGCCAAGTCATGGTCGTAGTGGACCGTTTTAGTAAATATGCAGTTTTCGTCCCTTTGCCTGCAGAGGCACGTACGGACTTAGTTATACAGAAGTTTTTTGACTTTTGGGTTAGTGAGAATGGAATCCCAGTATCAATAGTTAGCGATCGAGACAGTCGTTTCATCAGCCAAAACTGGCAAGAACTCATGAGAGTCTACGGATATAAGTTGTTAATGTCGTCCCGCCGTCACCCAGAGATTAACGGTCAGACAAAACAAATGAACAAGATCCTACACCAAGTTCTGCGCATGTACATTAGACCAGACCAGATTAACTGGGATGAGATGTTGCCTAAGGTAGCTAATGCATACAACAACAGCGTGCATCTATCCACCTGCCACACTCGCAATGAGTTGCACAAGTCCTTTAGACCGCGCAGACCGTTCGAAGGACTGAACCGGGATCAGATTCACATATTACCGCCCGGTACCAGGGAGTTTGCGATACAGCACGAAAAGGAGTTAGCCACTGTTGTTGAGAACCTTCAGAAGGCCCAACACAGAATGGTAGAGCAGGCTAACACGCACCGTCGCCCATCACAGTTTCAAGTAGGCGACTTAGTCCGGGTCAAGGCAAAAGAGTTTGCACCGGAAGAAAACATCTCACAGAAGTTACTGCCTGCATATAGGGGACCGTGGCCGGTTCTAGAAGTCAAGGGCGGAGAGGATGGACCGTCCTACAACATTGGGATTCCAGCACACCTCCACACATACCCTGTGTTTCATGCTTCAAAGTTGTTGTCGTGCGTCACTAGTCAACAGTTCCCTTCCAGGAGATCCATGATCCCACCGGATATGGATGGGAGCTATGACATAGAGGGCATTGTAGAAGAGGATGTATTTAGGACAGGAAGTAGAGGTCGTCCCCAAAAACAGTATAAAGTCCGGTTTGCCTATCAGGAACCGGAAGACGACCGCTGGTTCACGAAAGCAGAACTTTTAGAGACTGCTCCCAACATAGTCAGAGCCTATGAGCGTGACAAGAAAGGTAAAGCTCCCGCCTTGGACTGAAATTTTCTTGGAGGACCTCGAAATTAGGACAGCGGGAGTGAAACGGTTTTCACCTTTCAGCAGTGGCAGATGCAGTACCCAGGGTTCGATCCCTAGACCTCACCCTGCCCATGTATAGTATCTGTGTAGACCCCGAGAATTGAACCTGTAACCTGTGTATTTGTAGGCAGTTGGTAGGCCTGTCGTAGGTCCATAGGCAGCAGGGGTTCGAT